TAGAAGTTTTTGTTAAACATTAATTTTATAAAGCTCCAGTTTTGTTGTGTCAAACTCAAAGTTGACAATGTAAGAATTGATGGCATCAGCAGTAAGTCACTGTTGAAAAATGTCATCAAGTTTTTTAAATGGTTGAAGTATGCTTTCAAATAGTTTTTGATGTTTATGTGTAAACATATGTTCTGCTTAATCTCAAAACTTTATTAGGATGAAATTTAGATTTTATGAAATACAGTAATCTGAATGGTAAAAGTGAATTTAAAATCGCTTCCATTGATCAACCAACCAGATGACTGGAACACTAAAAACATCTTCAGTTACGTTTTTGAGAGTATATCCCTTGGGGTACAATATCTATATCAACCAGTGTAATATTTTCCATATTTTGTTATTCTAGGGAACAGCATTCCTTCAAGATATAACAATAGGTAAAGTGATGCGAGCTGTATTTAAACGAAGATTAACTGATGGTAGTGGATATTATGCCGAGCTGTTTGATGAAGGAGAGAGTGTTATTGATAAAGTGATAGCTGAAGGACATGGTATATTACGACAGACGCAGAAACCATTAAATTCTCAGAATAATAATCTAAATAATGATGGTTATACTGGCGGTTATAATGATAATAAAATGAATTATAAGTAAGTTATTTATTAACCACTTATTTTAAGTGATAAGGGTTGAAAGCCGACAATAGATTGTGTTTAAAAGGCACTTGCTGTGGCATCAGAAATTTTCTTTATGAAATGAATTATACATAAGAAATTTATTAACCTAAATTCACCTAGTATTAGCTGATAAGTGTTGAAAGCTGACACTAGATCGAGTTTAGGAGACACTTGCTGTGGCATCAGAATTTATCTTACCTTGAAAGGATTCTAACTAACGGCACTTAATGACCAAGCAGATGACAATCAAACCTGCTACCGACTGAGCTATTCCGCTTTCACAAAAAAGATAGTGTTCCGACCTAGCAATTAGAGGGAGGTATGACTCCTTTGAAATGAACTATTTATGATTGATTGATTATGGTTTATTAACGATTATGGTGGTATTATTATTAACAGTATTTTTACTCGCTATGCTATGAGAGATTAAAATAAACTGATAATAATAATGATATTGATGATATTTTTACTCGCTATGCTATGAGAGATTAAAATAAACTGATAATAATAATGATATTGATGATATTTTTACTCGCTATGCTATGAGAGATTAAAATAAACTGATAATAATAATGATATTGATGATATTTTTAGTCGTAATCCTATGAGAGACGGTAATAACATGATGTCTGTTGATAAAAGACGAGAGTTCGAGAAAGTGATCTCAGAAAGAGATATGTTAAATATGGAGTTGTCCAACATGAGATCAAAAATGAAGGCAAGTTAGAATTTCTATGTCATTAGTGATTGTAGAGCAATATAGAAATATTAAAACAGAACCTGAAACATGTTTCAGACTATTTTTGAGTGAAACATTGAGTAACAACATGTTTTAGGTTCTGTTTTGATATTTCTATAAAGTCATATTGGAGGATAGTCAATCTATTTTTCTAAAGTAAGCACATAAAGGCATAAAACAATGATACAATATCTAAGTGTTATTCATGAAAATTCATAAACATATATGTATATTCTCACAAAGCTGTTCAAGTTGTCTTGTTATTTCTAGACACTGCAATCAGAATATCAGTTAATGTCTAACAAGTTAATGGAAAACAATCTCGGTCAATTGGTAAGTAAATTAGTACAATATTTGGGTTTGCTTGAATCTGTTTGAAGCTTATCATATGTAAATGTAAAAACGAAAGCATATGATGAATATAAATATATGAATACTCAAATAATGAATGATCTTTTCAGGATTATATTATGTACCCTTGAGGATAACAAGGATAACAACTTATGTTCTCAAGGACCCTATTTACCTGATAGTCTGTGGCCAAACCTCTTTGGGTTATTAATACCAATTTCCATTATAAAGGAAAGCTGACTTGATCCAGATAGAAGGCACAACCATTATTTGTTCAACATAACCAAGCATGATCTTGTTCATTAAAAGTTGGTTTAATCAATACAAAATTTGTTTTCTTTCAGTTACAAATGATTATGAACGTAGCAACAAAAGTTAAGCAGTTAAGGTAAGTAAAACAATAAGGTCAGCCTTGATCTTATTGAGAATTTTGAAGCCTAGTCTATTGCCAGCTAGCTGAGCTATCATTATATTTATCATGTATTATAGTTTAAGGTTAGAGTCTAAGTTCCAGCTTTTCAGTATTAATACCTCCTGAGATTATTAGCAAACATCTTAGACAGGAAGCTTAAAGCTAAGATTCCATATACGCGTCATGCAGATCTGTCATCCGTCATTCATTAAAAATCGAAATGGTTGGTTTAAGAGGGTATGATTCCATATATGCGGAAGCAATATCTGTCAAATGTTCTCCGTCATGGGTCAAAAAAAAAATTCACCGGGTGTAGCAATTTTTGACACATCCGGACGCCTTTCTGCGCGGAGATCTCCCAAATGTGAGGGATTCCCTGTCTTTTTTATGCACCAAAGCATCCATCTATCTAGAAGTCCGTGCGTCAAAAGAAAGATAACGCATACGTTTAACGCAGATATGGAATCATATTTGGTAGAGGGGGGGGGTATCAGATTTGTCTCAATTTGAAATGGTTTCAAAGAGTCCAAAGTGTTTGGAATACTTTAGTGCAAGGTAAACTGATAGTATTCACATAAGGGTCTTACTAGAGGAATAATACACCTACCATTGACTTTACCAAACCAGGACCTTGATTATAATTCCAGATGTCAGTTTCCAGTAGATAAGAATACACCATTAGATGATGGTCTAGATCTGATACTAGATGATACTAATAGATTAACTAATATACAAGTAGACAGTCTACCTACTGTAGTCTCTACTCTATCTACTTATAAAGCTGCTCAGAAAGAAATCTCTCTGTCTAAAGATCAGGTAAGTCTATTTAGTTTATTGAAAGTTGACTTTCAAAAGCACTGTCTATGGGTTGCCCTTTGTCAAGTTGTTTCCAGTGCCATTCTTTTGCTCAAGATTGGCTCGAAGACAAGGTGCACCTAATTTGTTAATGGAATATTTGTAATTATAGAAAGAGATAGATGAAATGATCAAAACAAGAGATTTAGCAAGAGTAGAGTTGTATGAAAAGTTAAAAGTTTGTGTTAGTGATTTACAAAATTATCCTTTCGAAGAAAGAGGTCAAAAAGTCAAGGTAAGTTTAATGTGTAAATTATAATGAAGCAGGCTGTAGCTCAGACAGGTAGAGCATTGAAATCTTTACATGACATCACTTGCTTGGTCATGTTAAACAGATGGTGGTCTTGGGTTCTTCGTGTGATATTCTGGTGACCTGGACTAAGTCATCTTTCCTCATTATTCCAGTGGACCCAGCTGTTAATGGGTATAGGACCCAGCTGTAAATGGGTATAGAACCCAGCTGTAAATGGGTACAGATTATCCAGTCAAGATCAATTCCAAAAGATTTGGTCAAGGATCAACTGGAAGAATGGATCAAAGTGAACTTATTTGTTATCCTTGTTAATTATTGTTGTTTCTTACTTCTAAAGATTGAAACATTCAAAGAGTTAAAAAAAAAATTTGGCCTAAAATTTGGATTGTCATATGCAATGATGCAATCTTAGGTTTGAAGTATATAGTAATTGATCTATTCAGGTTCAGAATACCAAATAGTATGTTTATATATATTGAGGTATATTATAATCAATAACGAAATATTTCAGCAATGTTTAGAAACAATAGAGAAGAACTACAGTTTTTTTCTGACTCAAAATTTCCCTGTAGTCACACCTCTACCTGAAGTATTACCATTATATAAAGAATGGAAGGTAAGATAATAACAGCATAAATCCTTTGTTATTGTCATAGCTAGAATTCAACTTTGCAAGCAACTGGAGCCATCCTTGCACCCATGAATTTGAATTAAAAAAGACTCAAAGCAAAATTCAAGTTACTGTGTTATGTATGTAGTATATCATTTGTTGATATATTCATACACGTCAATATGTATTGAAATTGATCTAAATAGACATAAACTGTTGTGTTTATTGATTGTAATGATCTAGTCTGTAGATTAATAGAAATTGAGTATTATCTTGGGACTAGAAACTTAATAGAAATTGTATAGTCTGCTTTATAAACAATAAACAGAATATGGCTTCATATAGGCTTATTCTACTCATATCTCAAGGGAGATTACTTTAAGTACACATTTTCTAGACCACAGTTATGCAGTTGTTATTTAGCTGTAAATTTATCAGGATGACAAGAATTTAAAAATAGAGAACAATAATTAAAAACACAATCTCTATCTCCATTATCTTTTTTCACATGTCTTCTCTTTAACTCGCCATTAAAGGGAAACCACCTACTCTTAAAAAACAAATTCAGACCACAGTATA